CAATATCTAGACTTGTAAATAATAGTAACTAATTATATTATTTGCCCCGTACCGAATAAGGTTGCCTTCTATGTAGCAGAATCATGGTGCCCTAAAGTATTTGGCATAATGCGTTAGACAATGTTTTGTTCAAACACACATAGCTCGAGTAGCTCGGTGGTGAAGAGGTTTAGCCCCGCGTTCCACGATCGTAGTTATGAAGCAACTTTCGCAAGGGTCGGTCACTGGATGGGTGACCGAAAAATTGTTATCTCGAGTTACTCCGTTTAGAAGGTATATTTTACCGTTGGTCCCAGCTGCATTTGCAGTCAATTTAATATCCTCTAATCCGCATTGGGCCAACATAGAGGATCATATACTATCCTCCTAAACCATCCATAAGGGAGGCCTGAACCCCTGCAGTGGGGATGTAAAAGGGCTGATGATGATGATTATACAGCTGTATGTACATAAAGGTTGTTAGGAAAGGCTTAAATTCTATAAAAAAAACATAACCACATTAAAGCTTAACATCAATGAGAAAATTTAGTCTTTTGTAGGAAACTGACAACTGATAGTAAATTGGAAAATTATCAAAGATATTTAATTTTACTATAGACTGTTCTTTCCTTTATAATTTTAAACATCTTAACAACATTATTTTAACGCACGAATAACATTGTTGAAACCGAATAACATAATATGGAATATTGTTTAATATTTTCTTAAACGGTTCTCAAAGCCTGCCAGTCACGAAGTTTTAATTTCTGTCCTGTTACAGCAGTCGTTGCAGACATTTTTTTTTCATGCGAAACTGAAAGAACAAATTACACTCATTGAATATTCATAACGTGTTTTCCGACAAGATTGTAGTTCTTGGTAAAATACGAGTATATTATATTTTTATATAAATAATTTTCTGGCGTTTTTGAACGCCATAAACTGAGAAAGAAATTCACTATAGAGATATTTCACAAAACAACATAATATACTTATTTGAAATAGAGAGATAGTCGTGAAGATAATGTCGTATTCATCTTCGTAAAGCTTACAATGTATTTGTGTGTTTCGTATTTCGATAGATTCCGTCAAATCTTGCGACTAATTTGCAGTTATTTTTTATCACAGAATAAAAAATGGTGTTTGTGCTTTCCAGCGATCAAGATTAAATTTTGCTTACAGTTTTTGTTTAGATGACAATGTATGGTTGACTGTGTTACGCGACCGTTTGTTTTTTGAATGTACTGCCGTGATCTGGATGTCAATAGTGTTGTATAACTCACATAATTATGTTTATTGTGTACTCACATCATTATTATTAGTGAGGATGAGTGAAAACCTCGTTTTACCTCATGTGGTACTCGCGAGGTACCCTTCATTTGAGGTGAGGTAAAGAGAAGGATTATGTAGCGAGGAGTAAGGCAAATGATAGAGGAATCAACCGTTAATATGTTGTTTATGTATCGACTCAATCTTTCATTTGAATCAACTCACAATTCTGCTGAGTGAGACGTGATAACTGTGTAAATACCTAGTGTTGAGGGCTCAAAACCTGATGGATCTTTTTGCCAGATTTGTACTAATCCTTAAGCAATGGCTTAAGCGTTGGTGCAAGTGTGACCAATACGAAACCAACTGCATAGTATTTTACAACGTCTGTTAGTTAAAACAAGACTAATTATAATCGGACTGACAATCTAATGATTAAGATTTAGAATTATAACTGAGGTTTATAATTATAAGCTCAATCATACGTTCTGTTAGATCAAGAAAATGTACCTGAGACGGCTGTGCCAACGATTTCCAAATGACACAGCATTTCCGGGCTTCATACATCGGCAACTGGCATTAATAATCCACTGTATATTTAGAGCTAAATAAATTTTTTTTTTTAAAAGACTCTTTATATCCTCAACACAACAATGGTGGCAGCGGTAAAGGGATCAGAAAAATTGATCCACAGTACACCTTTATCCAAATTAGCTAGTGTAAGCTAGTAAATATCGTCAGAAAAGTTAGTAAAGTTAGTCCAGTGAAATCTAACAAATAATATCAGTGATTCTAACATTCAAACCAACATTATCGATATCCCGTTTCAGCTCATCTATCCAGACAGGCTCACCGATCGTCTAGCCTAGTAACCACTGTATCAAGCAGTTGCGCAAAGGCGTGTCTCCAGGAGCTCTTGTCATCCACTACAACTAAGCTGTGAGAATCCAGTACCAGAGGATCCAGTTCCAGTTTCAAATTAAAGGATACAGTTCCAATTCCTGACCAAAGGATCCAATTCCAGTTCCAGAGGGTCTAGTTCTAATTCCAGTCGGTTCTAGTTCCAGACTATTCCAGTTGTTCTAAAGTGTATGTAACTATAAAAAAACTAATCCTATAAGTCAAACCCCTTTTAATTACTTACCTGTGCAGTGTTAGTTATTTCGTGAATCCCCATATGTTTATTTCAAGAGACCATAATTCATTTCATTACAATAATTACCTTTATTAATAAATTAGAGAGTGTAACAATTCTTATAGCACACATAAAAAAATCCAGACATCGAAATCCGAGTGCGCCCACGTATTCTCGAAAGTCGAAAGAGAGTCTCTCTGTATTGTGCTCCGTAATAGTTTGTTCTTAAGTATTTAATAGAGATTATTTTCTTTTAATCTTGTAGATACTTATGAGTTTTACGACACCCGATATTCAAGGTGAAATATAACTTATGCAAAGAGGACCTAAGGAAGAAAAGGGCAGATTAATGTCAAGCCCTAATTCGAAGCATTTTCGAAGTTAAATATGGAGTTAAGTATCTTATTAAAATTTATTCAAACATATGTGATGGGAGTCACGAAACTTTAAGTTCTTTTATTGTCAATTGCATGCATATGAACACATGAATTGGCTTCGAAAAAACAACAAAACCATATTATTCAAATATATATTAAACCAATTAAATGGCAAAGCAGAAAGTGCGTGCTCAATCAAGGATTTCACTTCATGGGACCAATTGAAAGATTATAAACCTTATAAATTATTAACTGAAATTTCTTTGTTTACTACCAAAGAATTACCAGGTCCTACCGCATCTATGTAAGATCTCACGCTCTATTACTTTTTACATCCCCAAATTTCGAACATTATTAAGTGCCGTTCTCCTAAAAATCTAAATGAGGCTTGAAACCTAGCGATATCCGAGGAACGGATACAACAAAGTCTCTATAAGCGCTCACAGACCGATCCAAAACCGAAATTTACTGAATCGAATTTTAAACGACAATATAATAAACCTTCACTCTGACAGCCATCATTTGATGGGTACGCGAACAACGGCCCGCCCTCTCTTCGTAATACAGGCTGACCATTTTGTAAGTATTATAAGAGAAACGGACATGTTCTCGAGAATTGTGCCCTTCGAAAACAAAATAATAAAAGTTTTTATCCATCTACGTCTAACCCTTTTACTCCAACGACTTAGTCGACGTCGTTCAAACCGAGGCTTCACGTAAATTTTGTAGAGGAAAACCAAAAACTAATAGATAATACTGAACAAAATAATATAAATTACTAAATGTCCCGTCAAGGTGTCGCACGTGACAAAATCCTATAAATCGTAAATGCGCCGACACCACAAAAATAAGTCCACTTATGCAACAAACCCATGGACAGGGCAACCAGCCCCAAACTCGATGCCACACTTCAATGACCCATGAACAGGGTAACTAGCCCCTAACTCACGGTCTCACCTCAATGACAAAGCCATTATCCTTCTTATCGACTGCGGTGTATCGTTAGATGTCTTAAAATTTAATGTCATATTCGATATCCCTTTCGAATATGTGATAGTAAAGCCAATGTTAAACGAATTGACTCCATCTGATCACAGAGAATGGCGTGAAGCCTAATGCCGAGAAGATAAGAGCAGTAGAAAAGGTTCCCATTCCACAGAATCCTAAAGATATAAAATCCTTTCTCGGTCTTGTTTCATATTACCGAAGATTCATCCCTGATTTTTGTATGGGACCCTTTGTATGGGAAAACCAACAGCAATTAACATTTAAAAGTTTGAAAAACAAACTTACTTCAGCACCTCTTTTGAGCTATCCAGACTTTACTCAACCTTTCATTTTGACATGCGCTGCTTCTAATTCCGCAATTAGCGCAATCCTGTTCCAAGGAATCATCGCAAAGGATAAATCTATTACTTTCTCATCACGCACTCTCAATAAACATGAATGTAATCATAGCATTACCGAGAAGGACTGCCTCGCCATTATCTTTGACATTCAGACGTTTCGCCCATATCCTTACAGGCACAAATTCACAATCGTAACTGATCATAAGCCCCTAAAATGACTCTTTAATTGTAAATATCAAGGTTCAAAGCTGATCCGTTGGAGACTTAAATTGGAAAAATACGATTATGAGATTGAATATAAAAAGAGAAAATAATATATTCGTAAACGAGAAGTGAAATACTTACCAGTCCAGCTCAATCCTGAAAGTTCAGGAATTATTAATTTACTTGAACTCCTTAACTTACCTAGTGGATTTATTCTACCTGATGACTTTGATGATCTTAATACCAACCTTCTTACTCCTCCAGACGTCCACGACGATGACACATACTCCTAATATCAGAAAAAATAAATTCCAATGCAAAGATTGAAGAACATATTGAAAACTTATTAAATACTAAGAAAATAACAATTGTTATACCCGCCTCTATAGACATTGATGAATTCAATCTGGTACAAAAACCAGAAATTCTCTATAATCAAATAGTGAATGAAGAATAATTTTCTAGAGAGATGTCAATGTATTTCTTTTCACCATTTGAGTACAATAATATTAATTGCTATTTTTTTTATGGGAAAGGGGGCAGACGAGCAGACGGATCACCTGATGGTAAGTGATTACCGTCGCCCATGGACACCTGCAACACCAGAGGGGCTACAAGCGCGTTGCCGGCCTTGGAGGGAAGGGTTGAGGGGTAGAGGGAAAGGAATAGGGAGGGGTTGGGCCTCCGGTACCCTCATTCACACGACGAAACACAACGCAAGCGTTGCTACACGTCGGTTTTCTTTAAGGCCGTGGTATCACTCCTTATTCTTCCAAATGGAAGATATAACCGATGCTGTTGTTCTGAGTGGTCAGAACGTTATTCACTGTAATTTCATCAGTGAAACTGCAAATTGAGTTAGCAGACAATTACAAATATCTTCCAAATAATTTACAACTACCTGTAACCTTAAATATAGATACATAGTATCTATATATAAATATAATTGAAAAAATGTCAAACGTATTATGTAAAAACAAAATTGTGTTCATATTGCAAATTCCGTTGGTAAATAACGAAGAATATAAACTGTTTCAAGCATCAGCTTTACCTGTACTCCATAAAGTTAAGGATCTTAATAGTTTTAGTCTTATTATCCCTAATTCTAAGTATATAATTTTAAGTAAAAATAACACTAAATATATGAACTTACAGAATTTGAACCTATGTAACAAACTGTATTTCAGTCATTTTATTTGCCAAATTTTAAATACATATGTATCCGATGTAAAACCTTGTTGTGAAAGCAATCTTTTAACAAAACTAGTTAACAAAATCCCTTCAAAATGTAAAACTAAATTTATCATTAGAAAATTAGATGCGTGGCAAGCAATATTTATCCAATCAGGCTCGGTTAAACTCATCTTAGATTGACTTGATAGAAAATTATTTGGAATCAATATCCAAGGAGCTGGAATCTTTTCATTGCCGAAAAATTGTATTGGTTATAAAGAAAAGTCCAAACCTGAGCCTAATATAGATTTCGATATAGAACTCCGCGAATTACCTTCTCAACCCTCAATCAGATTAATTACATAAAATAAAAAAAATATAATAATAATAAACTTTGAAAACAACCTCGAAGTTTGTTCTCGATAGGGAAGGTGTTATATCTAAAATATGTACCTGCATCTGAGGTGCCAAAGATTTCCAGCAGATACAGCATTTTCAGGGCTTCGTGCATCGATGATTGCCTTTCGCGTGTCAGTCTGCCACATCCCACCGGTTCGCTTAGTCACATCCACAAACTAATCATCCAGTATGGATTTAGGGCTAAATAAATATTATTACTTAAAAACACTCTTTATATCCTCAACATAACAATTCCTAATAGAAATTGGTAGGGTTTGTCTGCGAAAACGCATATTCAAAACGCCTCATACTACTCGTAGTTTTTTGAACGTCACAAAACCTAAAATAAGTTTTATTGTCACGTATCATAAATACTTTTTACCGTCTCTTTTTTTATTCAGAATAGAGATTTATTTCAACATTTGTATACGTGCTCTTTGTCCTCAATCGTAAAGTAATTTGCGGCTATATTTGTGTTTCAAAGTCACGTGCCCGCCTTTTCTGTCAGTTCGGTGAAATAACATTTCCCGGGAAAAGTTACCAAAAGCTTGTTGTTTTTTTAGCTCAATACATACTCGTCCTCATTTTAAATCTAAAAAATCATTATGTGAGTTTAGCATTGTAAAAATTAATATCAGTTTTCTGAATCACTGACTGCGTAATAAAATTAATAACATTATGTTACTAACTTTAAATATAATGGGTGCCTGACATAATAGACTTTATAGGTATTTAGGTTTGGATGACTTTTTCTTAGTTCTTAATAGGCCCTATGGCTAAAATATTTTGTATGTTATAAAGCTGCATTAAATGATTGTATTAATACTATCTTTCTGCAGTCTTGGACTTGTATATAAATAATATGCGATCTCACCATATCACGCACCAAATAAGCAATGCCATTTAGCCCTTTGACTTTTGGTCTTCCAGGCTTACGCTTGATGATTTTGGCTATTACATTTTGTTTTTGGTAAGAAAAGTGTTTTTTAGTGAACACTAACACTGTATGGAACCATACAAAAAGTCAGCCCCGCACGATAACACCTTGAACGAAATAGTACAGCTAACCGCATCACCTATACTAAATTAAATTAAAATCAATTTGTCTTATAATTTAATCATCACCACCCAACATCATCAGTCAATTAATGACCCCACTGCCGAGGCTCAGGCCTTTTTTTATGGATGATTCACGGGCTCAGTGCGGACTGGTGGGTATTAACCACTCCAGATGCAGCCGGGACCAACGATTTAGCGTGCCTTCTGAAGCACGGAGAAGCTAGAGATAGTAAATTTTTCACCTATCCTATGACCGACCATTTCGAAAGTTGCTTATCAACCGTATCGCAGACCAAGCTAACCATTGCGATATCGAGCTCCTTATTTTAAGAAATGATAAAAATTATCTCTCAGTGCGAAAGGATAACCTTTGGTGCTCGGTTACGAAAACAAATTCTAACGAAAAATCTGCATAAAAATAGCGGAGCAACAGAATTATACGTTGGTACTCTCTCGACGGAGTATCTCCATTAAATATGCAAGATTGAATGTCATTTTTTTATACTTATTTGGTAAGAAGTAATAAAATGACTATATTTTACTATTAAAATAAAAAAAAATATTAAATTAAACATATTAATTCGCATAAATCATATAGAAAAAAAAGAAAGTTAATTTGTTGGGCACAAAATATAACACACGCAACAACATTTGCATATAAATATAAATAACAAATGTGTTTATTATTTTATACAGGTTATTAGTTTTGATCAATTTTCTATTCACAATATTATACTGATGTAAAATGCTTACACGTACTATTTATGCTATGTGAAGCCAACACTGGACTCCACTCAGTATCAAAGACGTCCTGAACAAGTGGTTGGGGAAAAAAATTTTTTTTTGGACGATTCATAAGTGCTTGTAATAGCCTACTTGAATAAAATATATTTTTATTTCATTTTCATTTCATATAGTAGTGAGCGGGGGCTCACTGCAATGATATTCTGTTCAATCCAGCCGTGACATCACGGAACCTAAAAATTGAAAATTAGCAGCCTCATAATACTAGTATTGAGGGCTTTGACTTTGTAACATAGCGTGCCTTTTAAACGTACCTTTCAAGAAAAAATTAAATACTGCCGAGATTCGACCTCTGCGTACATTCGTTTTTTATAATATGTGTATATTTTACGTATATAAAAGTTTTATTTTAAATTATCTATTAAACATTTACTTAGGACTTGTAGTAGAAACTTTTGAATAATATGACTTCGTAGAGTTTAGTCAGTTAGATCAACAAAATTTCCTGTGTTGTTAGGACTGGATGTTTGTGTTACAATATTTGTTTTAGATTTCCATTAGGCAGCGTTAGTTATTAAGGTAACATATTATCATGATAGTAACTTATCCCTTTTAAAGACACCTTGTACAAGATACCAAATTCAGATTTAATATGCCTTCCAGTAGCATGAATTAGTTCGAGATAATAATTTTGTGGTCACCTGTCCCGTGACTAGAACTTGCGAAAGTTGCTTACGAATAACGCCATTGAGCTACTAATTTTTAATTACGCCATACTACCTTAAAAGAGAAACAAGATTGAAAATAACCTATTGATAATAATCTAAAAACTAGTATCGATAAAAACACATATGTATATTTATTGTACCGACTGTGGTACCGACGAACAATTAAATACTATTTCAAAACAAGGTAACTTATTGTAAAGTTCGACAAAACTTGAACACAAATAGAATCGCCAATTATGTCTCTGACACTTCGAGCAAAATAAGTTAAAGAACCAAAGAAATAACGATTCTACAAAAGAGGCCACTTAGTTGAATTATTCGCAATTTTTAATAGGGAATAGAAGCATATTCTTAATTAAAAATGCTTAAAATTCCACTATATACCAAACTCGAATAACCAATACAAGCATACTGTGGAATTGTGTAAAATTAAAATTGACTTCTCTCAAATATAGATATAACAGTGTATGAATTTATTTGTATGTATATGTGTATGTAATTTGATTTAGAAATAAATATATATATTGCTCTTTCAGCCGGTTTCTGAAAAGAGAAAAGTACAAAATCTCAACTGATTATTCTCAATAACAAATCCTAGTTTTATTAAACTGCTATCAACTGGTCATAAAAAAAATAAAATCAGAAACGGAAATCTGAATAAATGACGTTTAAGACGGCGTCTCAGCCCGTACTTAAACGGGTTCAGACATGATTAACTTAAAATCCTCGATTCAGAATTCGATAACGAGTTGTATGAAGCTCAATAAGTCACGTTGTAAACCCCTGATCAATGAAAAATCACAAAACATATCAACTATTTCATTAATATTCAAAGACAATTTATATGAAATCAGCAGCGAGTACAACAATTAAGCCAAATACATTTTTTTATTACTATATTATTATACTATAATGGGAGTAAAATTATAGTGACTCTCTACTTCTGAAATCAACATGTAGTTGACGGTATTGGTTTCAAATTATTGTCAAAATGTAACTTATACTTAGGGAACTGTTAACCACGATACATGATAAACAAATATGTTTATTCTTCTTTTTATTCATTCCTTCCTAAAACAAGGCTATTCAATTTTAAGCTTCTAAAAATATTAAATCCAATTATGATAGAAAAAATCGAAACATTTAGTTTAGCTATTCATTTTGTAAAAGGATTACAACAATCTTAATCCTTTCGAATATTAAAGAGCTCGAAAAACAATTAAGAACTATTAAATCAGATTCTCGGAGAAAATTTTATAAGGAAAATATTTTATAAAATTGGCAAATAAAACTGAAAAAAGATAAAGGTTCTTCCAGCTAGCTTTGTTGCTTTAACAAATAATACGGAATCCAATATGCCATTTACGGGACTTTTGACTCGGCAGATTTTACGCTTCCATTGGCGAGTCAATATAGGAAAATACTTCCACAAAAGAAAAAAGAATTGCATCTAAACTCCTTTTAGTTAACCTGAAGAATAATGAAAGTCAATGAAAGCATCCAATTTTTATAATAGAGACAACATTGTCTCTACTTTAAAAGTTTATGTTGAGTACAAGATGAAGCAGTGTCTAAAATTTTTGCTTTCTCTGATATAGTTGACTCCATGGAAACCTTAATATAAAAATTTTAATCTGTGGTTAAAGAAAGTCTTTTAAGCGAGAAATCTTATATATAAGTTCAAATAGGTAATCTTTATTTATATTCATTTAAAATATAAGTATACATACTTATCACATTTTTTTTCTAAATGGAAGTTACGATATGGTATAAAACGACCGACATCTCAGTTAATGACTAACTTAGTGACGGAAACTAAACTGCCAAAATACCCTCTAAAAATGTAAAACAAATTAACTACTTGCGCTAAGTCTCTTAAAACATAATATAGTATAAAATCTTATTATTATTATTACATAAAACATCTAAATCTTATTACATTAAAAAATCTTATTACATATTCAAATAACTTTAATTCCACCAAAGAACCTTATCTTATGGCGAATATAATATAATAAGATAAATTTTCATTCTAATTTAGCTTATACACAGGTAATGTTTTTATGTACGAGTATTATCCTTTTCAAAAGTCAGGTTTCGTCTCCTATGAATTTCATCACCTAGAACGCAGACAGAATTGGCTTCTAACTTTCAGTACCAGATTTTTTTTCTTTTTACTGATAGCTTAAGCTTCGTTCCACTCATCTTGATTCATTTATATCCTTTTATATTTGTATTTTTATCAAATTGAATTGCGGTTGAGCTCAATTGCGTAATGGTTAGTGCGCTCAGTCTTCAATACGGTTGTTAGGTAACCTTCGCAAATGGTCGGTCATAGGATAGGTGACCAACAATTTATCCTCTCGAGCTCCTTCATACTTCGGATGGCACGTTAAACCATCGGTTCCGGCTTAAACATTTTTTCTCCACCCAGTCAGAACGACTTTTAACTGGTTGATTAGAAGAACGAGTAAGAAACTCACCAGCTCCAATGGAAGTAATGACTTTCACAATAACCATGTCGTCACCAGATCAATACATATATAAATACTAGTGGACGCCCGCGACTTCGTCCGCGTGGAAGTCGGTATCCCGTGGGAG